TCGGGTGCTTCCCCGCGTGGCCCCGTGTGGTGTACATGCCCTTCTCCGGGAGCTGGAAGTTACATGACTTTTTTGGATGGCAATCTCTGCGTTGTCACTCTGTAAGTTAAATCCAGGTACAATTGGAACAGGCGGCTCGTATGGGCTGGCCACCCTATGACTATGAGAGCCTGTTCTTGACAAATTAGGATGAAAAATCAAGTTCTCAGTTTGCTGGAGTGTCTTGTGGCATGCCCTGTCTCCAGCCTCAATACGCCCCAACTTGGAATTTCTGGTTGACCCCAAAGACTGGAGTCAAAACCCAGAGACACGAGGTGATCTGCTGTGACCACACGGGTCGCTGGCTCTGGGAATGATGAACCTCGTGTCCAGGGGTGAGGGAAAGCACTCAGGCAGTTCCGGCTGAGCAGCCTGGGTCCCCTTTGGGCCGGGACAGGCCCGGGGTGACTATGGAAGTGGCCCGGGTCAGCCACATGACTGCAAGTGCTGCCTCAGCCCTGGGCCCTGTGTCACAGTCGCTGGCTAACCAAGGGGAGCTTTCTCTAAAGTGGCATGTGTTCTGAACACTCGTCTTCACAGATGTAAATGCTTCAATCTGCAAAAGGAGAACATCTCATGTAGTGTGGGGGAAACGGGCTAGAGTCCACGTCTAAAGAAGAGACCGGAGGGACAGCCCCTCCAGCCAAGAATTAAGGGCATCATCACTGCAGGGGCAGCCCAGCCACGTGGTGAAATGAGAACAGGCAGAGACCAGCCAATAAGGGCCTAAATGTCTCCCTTTTAACTATTCATTACAGTAAAAGGCTAAGATGCAAATCAACCGAATGGAGGAACCACTGGTCACTATGACACGCACTGACTACTAGGGGCAGACGCTGAAATCAATAAAAATATTTTTTTTTAAAAAAAGAAAGAAATGTACGTGGAAAACTTGAAATGTTTATGTTGTAATGGTTACGCTAAGATTTGTACTCGCAGTTTCCTTTCAGAATCTTTATGGGCTTTCTCTCCCCATCTCCCTGCTTCCCGGGAACTGGCACGCTTTCAGTAAGACACCTGCCAACGGCTGCCCGGCCACGCAGCACTGCATGCCGGTGACCGTGGTGCGATTATGACAACAGTCACGGCAGTAAACGGCAGCACTGATTTTAAAAAGCAGCAGCGACCTCAGGAGACTGGCTTCAGCACCGGCCACGCAGGAGTCTGCGCAGCACAAACACGACAGGAGAGCGCGCTCAGGGCACCCGGAGGCTCCATACAGCTGAAGGCTCCGTCTCCGTCAAATGTACAATTTGCCGAACAGATTCGTGAATATTTAATAAATGTCAATATTCAAGAACTCTATTACACAAGTGTGGTCCTTCTGTTGAGGAGACTGGCTTCAGCACCGGCCACGCAGGAGTCTGCGCAGCACAAACACGACAGGAGAGCGCGCTCAGGGCACCCGGAGGCTCCATACAGCTGAAGGCTCCGTCTCCGTCAAATGTACAATTTGCCGAACAGATTCGTGAATATTTATTAAATGTCAATATTCAAGAACTCTATTACACAAGTGTGGTCCTCCTGTTGTTATTAAGACCCGGTGGCCTTGGAGCCCACTGTAGCCTAAAGTGTCCATGTTGCCGCTGGATGAGAGGAGCAATAGAGGCCTTCCTGTGAACGCCGGGAACCTCGAGGAGTTCGCACCCACACAGACGTGACCCGTTGGGGCTGGAGCACCTCTGTGAGTTAGAGTTTACCACGGGGATGACGTTCGACTCTGCGGAAGAATATGCTTTCCGTCTGCCGTGCCTGCTTCTGTCCCTTCCGCTGCGCTTAGCAAGAATGAATGAAACGAACAGGAGCAACTCTCCTGACCTTCCTTTTTGGACACTGTCTGCTGCGTTTGTTCACGATCCGTTTCTACAGACAATCGCTGACCACCCGCCACACGCAGCAGGGGAGACCAGATGCCAGGCACGCCCCTCCTTCCTAGAACTTACATGGAAGACACCGTGACGCGTGGATTTTAAAAACACGTAACCGTCTTATGCAGGAGGGAGTCAGGAGCCTCAGGAGGAGCCGGGTAAATGCCAGGGCAGCTCAGAGACCAGGGGTTTCCTGGACGGACAAGGTCCCCGGCACAGGCAGTGCCTGCAAGGGCTTTGCCGGATCCCAGACAAGGGCCCCAGGCCCCGCCCTGCTTCTCTCTCCAGCCCCCTCCCCGCCCTCAGCGCACCGACTTCCTTTCCTTCCTCTCCTTCCTCGGGCAGCCCTGCCTTCTGTGGCCTCCCCAGGCCTTTGCCTCCGCTGTGGTCTTCCTTCTTCTCAGAAGCTTCTGGTCCCCCATCCCCCGGTTCTGGGGCCTGCTTAGCGCATTCGGGCCCACGCCCCTCCCTAATCAACCAGCTGCCCCTTGGGATGGCAGGAGCCTTTGTTCCAGCCTCGATGGAGGCTGGACTGTCCGCATTCCACTGCCCTTCCTCACTTCCCCTCCTCCAAGAGGGACAGCCTGAGGCTCCTTAACTCCAGGTGAAGGGAGACCCCCGTGTGAGCCGCTGTGAGCCCCGGGAAGGCACCAGGCCAGGCCAGGCCAGGGTCTCGGAGGGACTGTGGGAGAGCGCCCCTAAACATGTGAGGTGCTGATAGGATGGTTCGGACTGTTGTTTTGATGGAAGGTTGTACATTAAGTGAAAAAAGCGGTTTATAAAACCGTATGTATAACATAATCCCACTAGAGGTATATTTAGAACTGTGTGTGTGTCAACGTGGAAAAGTCTAGAAGGATTCACACTAACAGGTTTAGGATAATGAGTTATCACTAGGCTGTGTGAATATGGATAATATTTTACTTTCTGTTATTCACCTGCATTTTCTACTTTTCGCCTATGCACATCTATCCCTCTTATAATTTTTTTTTTTAAAGGGAAAAGAATGAAAGGCACAAGGTAATGAGGGTGTGAATTAGGAAAATGGCAGCAGAAAGAAGGCTGAAGGACCAAATCTGAGATGATATAATAGAGGAAAATATCATCAAGGATTGACAAGATGGTTCTACATTTTTCAAGTCAGTAACCATGAGGACTATAACATTTCAAACAAATGATACCATCAAAGGGAGACTGAAGAACCCCATTTTGTATCTGTTTTGAAGTTTTGACCACAATGTCTGCCAAGACACCGGGAGAATCAGAGCCAGGAATCCAGACGGGAAAGTCACGTGTGTAGTCAGGGCCGGGGAGCCCTGCTGCGGGTGGAGGGCAGCGGCGAGAGGGGGAGGGCAGCGGTGAGAGGGGGAGGGCACACCTACGGAGAGTGACGGACACAGGGACCCCAGAGGAGTCGGAGGGACTGAGGAGAGAAAGAACAGCGTGAAGTAGGAAGAGGGCAGGTTCCAGGCGAAGGCGTGGCTGCCTGTGTCACCTCCATACCCCGGCGGAAGGAACAGGGGCCACTGAGAAGAGTCCCCGACTTTGACAAGCCGTGAAATTTGTGAACGCTCACACAGGCATGATACCACTAACAACGGTTAGTCATCACCACCAGCTGTAAATTTTCTCTTTATAAAATACCTTAACAATTTATCCTCCTAGGAAAATATAAAGGATGAAATGAGACAGAGATGAAGCAGACAGGCCCCTAATGTATTTTCTTTCCTCTAGAGCAGGGTGGGGAACCTTTTTCTCTGCCAAGGGCCATTTGGATATTTGTAACTTCATTCGCTTAGTATAAACGTATGTTGCTATGAAAAAAGCTCCTAGATTTGTGGAATTTCGAGTCCCGCCTGCGGTTGCCTTGGCAGGGCCAGACCAAACCATTTCGCGGGTCTCATACACCCCCCACCCCTGGGCTAAGGGAAATAACTCCACAAAGAGTGTCATCTGTACTGGAGTTCAGCATCTACACTGGAGGAGTTCATCACGCCTGGCCCTCCTGCTATTCTGACCCTAACACAGGGGAGCTGGTTGGGGGTAATGAGGAGGCACACACACACCACCCAACCTCTCCCACTTGACAACACCCCAAAACCAGAGACAAAGGACGGAAAACACTCAGAGCCCGGTTCTACAGAGTCATAATACGCCAGGGGCTTGAGGAGGGAACTCGGGGCTCACAGGACCGCATGGTGGGCGAATTATCCACATGGCGGGCGGCTTATCCGCAGCCCTGGGAGGCAGTGAGAAGTATGAGCCAGACACCAGGAAAGAGGCTGCGGAGGAGCAGAGAGGAGGGGGAGATGATCGAAAGGAGAGTTGAGGGAGTGTCTAGGTTTGTTGCCCATTTTTAAGTTGGGTTGTCTTTTTAATGTTGATTTTCAGGAGTTAGTCATCCGTTCCGGATCTGGGTTCTTTGTCAGATATGTGTACTGTAAATATTCAACAAGGATATTGTATTCAGTAGTATATCCTTTAAAATATTCGCGTGAAGACTCCATTCACAAAATCAAACACATTTCATCATGTGAAGACTCTATTCACAAAATCAAACACTGCATTTGCATGAAGCTCTAGGCCAGGTCAAACCAAGCTGAGATGACAGAATTAGAACACCTGGCCGCACTGGAGGGGGGGCGATGGGAAGTGGGCAGGAAAGAACTTACTGAGGTCGTGAGCACATTCGGTACGTTAACTAGAATGGAACTTGTCAAATCTCACTGAAAAACACACTTAAAATCTGTGCATTTTCTTGTATGTAAATGAGATCTCAATTACTAAAGAAAAGACAAAAAATGAGGGTAGAACTCTGACCTTACCAAAAAGTTATTTACTTCTGATTTTAGTAATAATATCAAAACCTTACAAACAGTATTTCATGATTACCTTCTGGTTAGTTAACCTCCCCCACCAATATCTATACCCACTCGACCTCCTCACCCACTCAAAAGTGAACTCCATCATAAAACACAGGCCTATTACACTACCACTGCCAAGGTCAAATCTTTTACTTACAGATATTTAATGGTGTTACATAGAAATAGTAGTAAACAGCCAAACGTTCTCCATTTCATTTTTTATTAAAATAAAGAGAAAATAATGCTGAAACTATACAATATCAAGACACAACATATGTGTGGACAGCTGTTAGGAGACGATAACACCGTGTGCTCCCTTGCCGCTCCCGGGCTGTCTGTAAGATTAATGAGCGGATGGGGCAGGTCCTGTTAGTGGGAGGACGACTGCCTGGCGTCATCTGGGCCCGTCGGGGCAGTGAGTCCCTCGGCCGCTGGGAGACCGTCGCTGCACTAAAGCAGCATGGGAGGCCTAGAAGCTGATATTCTGATCATTAAGGTTTTCAATACTCCGAATGGTGCTTCCTGAAGCACAAGTTATACTTGAAATGCACTTCAATGTCTTCAAAAACGAACAAGAGGCTTCTCATCTGTGAGTGAAACGATAAGCTCTTTCTCCCTCTAACATGCAGGAGGTTATCATTACACCAGGGCCCACGGATAAAGAAAGATGCAGTCACTGGCCTCCAGCCGCTCACAAAATTTAGTGAGAAACACACAAATAGGTCATTTAAACCAATATGAGGAGAGACTTTTAAAAATCCCTAAGGACCTGGTACTACAGCACCTCAATGAGAAGCGGGCGGGGACCTGTGAGGTGGAGGGTTGGGTACTAGAGGGGCCTTTGGGAAGCAGCGGGGCCTGGGCAGGCGGACCCCAGAGGGACAGAGGGACGATGCAGTTGGCCAAGAGGGAGGGCCCAGGGGCTGGGCAGACAGTGCTTGGGGCTAAAACCAACCGATGAAAGGAAGGCCAAGGAGGCACAGGGCACAGCCGCGTGCCCTCTGTGTCAGGCAGGCGGGCGGGCAGGGCCGGGCGGGAGAGGGACATGCAGGCCTAAGGGAAGAGGACTGCACAGAGCCTTACAGAGGCATCAGATGCACCTGTCCTCTGGGCAAGGCCTCAGAGACCAGCTCGTCAGCATCAGCCTCAGGAAGTACCGGAGGTCATCGCCCAAGGAGATGCGCAGGGCACAAGCAGAGACTGCTCCAGAAGCCCCAGCCCAGGCCCAGGTGAGGAGGGACGGCCAGGTAGGTAAAATGATGCCCACGCCGGCGCCATGAAACCCAGGCATAAAGAGCCGGAGTGCCGGGACTGTCAGATCCAGGAAGACGAGACCGCGGTGGGACCGGACCTTGTCGGCTGAGGGGCTCGGGGACCTTGGCAGGAGCAGTCTCTGTGAAAGGAGGGTGGATGACAGACACAGTGAAGTCCCCGCAGAGGTGGCTTCCAGCAAGTTTCACAGCGAAGGGGAAGGAGAGGACCCCAGTGGGCAAGGCATCTGGTTGAAAGATGGTTTTGAGTGTGAGTGAGCAGGAGGCAGGGAGGGAGGGAGGAAGAGGGGGGGTTGTTTTATTTGTTTTGGTTTTATGTTGATAGTTTCCAGTGTTTAAATACTAAGACAAAAGAACCACTAGAAATAGGAATATAGAAATGGTGGAGAAAATGTCACGACCGGGAAATAATTGGTAAGGATACCAAGGAGGAGAGGAGGCTGGGATATAAAGTTACTAAGAGGGGTCTGGGGTGAGGGGGAAGGACACCTCTTCTACTGACACGGAAGAGAAAGCCGGAGGGGGGCTCAGAAACCAGGTCTGTATGCAGGTGGTGGAGGGATAGGAGGGAATGAACTTTCACATTTGGTGCCACAGAGCTTATTTCTGTTGAACCAGGACAGGTAGGCTTGTTCCTGGTTTCCCAAATTATTTAAGGGGGAAAAAAGCTAAATTTTTATAGATAGAAAATAAGTATAAAAGTGAGATTAAATAGCTATACATTTCGGACATTCCATTGCCTTGTTTATTTGCAAAGACATAAAAATGAATTATGATCATTTAAAATGAACTTAATTTTAACAAAATTAGCCCCTTCCACCATAACATTAAAACATTTGGATGTCAATCATTAATAATCAATAACATAGTGTCATGAAAGGGTCATTACAAATACAAGAATAAAAGCTAACTTCAAAGCTCACAATTATGAATCCTTCATGGAATCTGCAGAAGCTTTTAGGGAGAGATAACAACTCTGTAACAAAGTGACATCTCTCCTGATCACATAAAAAGAACGGAGGCAGAACGGACACGCGGCACCTGTGTTTGTGTGAACCCTCTGCGTGGAGCTGTTCCCACCAGGAGCACCGCGTTTCATGGGAAACCAACACACCTCTCCCTGCGAGCCCGGCCGTGCCTGGCCCCCAGCCCCGCTGGCACAGCTCAGGGACCACAGTGCTGCCTGCGTCCCGGGGCAGGCAGACCTTCACCAGCCACGCTTCTCGACAGTCACCTCCTCGGATGCCCGGCTGGGGTGAGCGTCGTCTTACTATCTGACCTTGGTTGTCTCCCAGGGGAGCGCCTCCTTTCGGTGGGAATCGCTGGAGGGCGACCTTCACCTGAACCCCACTTTTACTGGAGCCTCGCGTGGGCTCACCGGGAGACCCGAAGCCTTGCCAACCCCTCCAGCCGCCAGCCGCACACCCAGGGCCTCCAGCCGCTGGAGTTCAGGCGCCCTGAGCGCTCCCATCAGTCGTCCTGGGAGATGGAGGTTTGCCCGGAGAATGAAAGGCCCCGAGGGAGTCAGGGCAAGGACAGTCCCACACACGGGTCTGTGCTGTGAACAGACTCCACCTACTAACATCCTCAGCTTCCGAAGAGGCCCCCTGTGCACGTGGGCCTTCCATGCTCCGAAGCTTGCACGTGTTTACAGGGCGGCTGCAAGGCATCAGCATGAACGGGCATCGGCTAAAGTGACTGCCATGTGACGTCAGTCCTAAGGTACAACATGGAACTATATTGCATAGAATTTTAACAGACCTAAGAGAATAAGGTAACAGAATATAAACTAATCATGTATGTCTCAAAATCTATAAAAGTAAAATAATTATTCTAAAGTGAAATAAAATATGTATTAGTGAGTGTCATGTGCCACCATCTAAACAAAATTTTCAAGAGGTAAACAGCTCACTGTAAATATAAACACACACACATAAAAGTGAGCATATAAAACCCTTCAAGCACATGTTTAAAAGCGGCCACGGCCGCGCAAGTCCTCTGCCCAGCCTGGCCGTGCCAGGGGTGAGACAGACGTCAAAGCTCTTAAAGTGAGAGGTGCTTCCCCCCCCACCCCCCACGACCACAAAGAACTCAGGAAGCTGAGGCAAGACGAGGGCAGGGCTTCCCACAGCCTCAGCTGTGCTTCCCAGCTGGTCACCCTCATACACACACCCTCACACACACACCCTCACATCCACAGATACACTCTCGCGCACACACCCTCACACACACACCCTCACTCACACTCACTCTCATACACACACACCCTCACACACACTCACTCTCATACACACACACCCTCACACACACTCACTCTCATACACAAACACACACTCACACACACCCTCACATGCACAGATACACTCTCATACACACATACCCTCACACACACACACAGAGCTGTGCCATTAGACCGTACCGTGCCAGCACTGCCTCAGGCCGTGGTGAGGACCAGAGGAGGAGCCCAGCCTGAAGGGGCGGTGGTCATGACAAGAGGCCGCCAGCCCTGCACTGAGGAAAACTCACTCCCTGCTGGGGGGTGGGGAGGTGGGGGTGGCGGGGGCAGACAGACAGACAGACAACACCTTTCTCTCTCTGCCCCCATAACCCCAGCTCTACACACATGCCCCAAACTCCAAATTGGACATCCCGTTGAATATCTGTCATGAGAGAGTGGGGGCTGACATAAAGAACTGCTCTGTGAACGGTCTCCTCTTTTGCGTGGCTCCAGATGGGGGTGGAGAGGGGGAGGGAGAGTACTTTCCCATACGGCCGCTTCTCCCGCAAAGGAACACTTACTGTTGATGTGGTCGATGTAGTAGACACCAATCTGGGGGTCAAACCCGGCTTCCCAGCCCCACGGCAGCTCATCCCCAACACAGTCAGCAAACGACAAGGGCTTCGTCAACCTGCAAGAAACCAGGACAATGCACGGTGACTTTTCCCATCCAACTGCACGTCCAAATCCAGCCCCAGCCCCCGCGTGTCCACGCTGCATCTCCTCTCAGTTCTGCTGTTTCCAGAGTTTGCACCACTTTAGGTTTGAAATCCTAAAGAAAAAAACAGAACATCCAAAAAAGTAGCAATAAGTCGTAACACCCTTTGGAAAGTTCCCAGCTCAACACTGGGAGATACCTATACACAAGGCTCTACCAGGAGCACTCCCGCTGAGAGCCGGGGGCGGGGCCGCTCTCTCTGGCTCACAGTTCAGCAGCCATCCATCCCATCCCCTGCCCAAGAGAAACCCGCCCGATCTGAAGTCATCCTGCCAGCACCTCTCCGACAGACGCCTGCCTGCCACGCCGACCTCAGGCTTGGATGCTCTTAGCTAAGTTACCGAACACTCGATGGTGAGGTCCACTAGGAGTTCTTGAGAGGAGACACAAATACCTTATTTTTGTAAGTATCTTGTATGTAACAGTCATTGAACAAAAAAGTTTCTTTAATATTTTTTATTAATTTCAGAGACACACAAAGTATTTACACATCAATGGGGTCTCCCCCTCTGAAACTGCCTAGTATCTTCTCTTTAAGCTGTAAAACCAGTGGGAAACCAGTTTCCGAACAGAGGACGGGTTTCAGACTCAGCTGTGGCTGGTTTCCCCTCTCCCTTCGTCTGGCTTCCGAGGCTCCCCTGGGCCTTGGAGCAGCTCACAGCACAGAACAGTGACGCCCCGTTGTGGAGTGACCAGCGGCAGCGGACACAGCTTCTAACGTCACGTGATGGCACCCAGCACGGCTCCCACCTGCGAAGTCACCTGGGATCCTCTAACCCAGTGATGGCGAACCTTCTGAGCTCGGCGTGTCAGCATTTTGAAAAACCCTAACTTAACTCTGGTGCCGTGTCACATACAGACATTTTTTGATCTTTGCAACCACAGTAAGACAAAGACTTATATTTTTGTTATTTATTTTATATATTGAAATGCCATTTAACAAAGAAAAATCAACCAAAAAAATGAGTTCGTGTGTCACCTCTGACACGCGTGTCATAGGTTCGCCATCACTGCTCTAATCCACGCAAGTGAGTATCAACTCTCTCGTGGCCCAACTGAAACACGCGTCACTTGCAGAATCACATCACTCATCAGAACAGCAAACTGCGCCATTTCCCTCAGGATGCCGGGAGGACAGCGGAACAAGGGAACCCTTCCTCCCGGGCCCGCCCGCAGCAGCCCTCCTCCCAGGACCCACGCCCCATGCATGGAAGGAAGACAGCGTCTCTCCTCTCGGGCTTCCCTTTGCATGAAGTCCGTGCTGAAGACGGCTCCAGAGCCTTGACCTTCAAAGCCAGTGCAACCACTGACTCGCCACAGTGAGACCCCTTCCTGACTCCTCTCTGGACCACAGCTTCCTTCTGCAGGTGGGGCGCACATGGCCCTGCCCCCACACTTTACCAGCCTCCAGCATGAATGGGAGGAGAGGAGGGGATTGCTCTAGGACAGTGACGGCGAACCTATGACACGCGTGTCAGAGGTGACACGCGAACTCATTTTTTTGGTTGATTTTTCTTTGTTAAATGGCATTTCAATATATAAAATAAATAACAAAAATATAAGTCTTTGTTTTACTATGGTTGCAAAGATCAAAAAATGTCTATATGTGACACGGCACCAGAGTTAAGTTAGGGTTTTTCAAAATGCTGATACGCCGAGCTCAAAAGGTTCGCCATCGCTGCTCTAGGACATGGTAATGGCCAATAAATGGTGATTCATACAAGCAGGATAAGTGAGCTGTCTCCTGTACGCTCCAGAGGAACCAGTCGGTCTGTCCTCGCAGCCGGCAGCATCGGCACCTGGGGGCTGGTTGGAAATCACCTTCCTGGACCTGCAGGCGGCTCTCAGAACCGGAACCCCCGGGGCCCAGTGTCTGGCCCTCCGGGTAAGGCTGGGGGTTGGAACCACTGGCGCAGAAGCGAAGAGCTTGAAGTTTGGACCGGAGACCTGGGTGGAGCCCTGTTCTGCCACTTACTTGCTGCACAGCCGAGGGCAGGTTTATAACCTTAGAAGCCCCCGTTTCCCAATCTATTTCCTAAAAGGGGGGGTGGGAGGGTGAAGTTTAAATGAGAACTGAACAGAAGAGTGCCTGACAAGTGGTAAGCTTCGATATGTATTGGGCGAGTCAAATGAGCCTCGGACACGGTAAGCAACCTGCCCAAATAAGGCAATCTGCCATATTTACTTTCTAAACCTGGAGTCAATCTGAGCTCAATCTGAGTTGAAAAAACAAACTGCGTTCTTAGAATTGTGCTCAAATTCCATGTTATATAAACTGCCCAGGAAAACTGAGTTTTCTCTTGACAAAGGAATTGGATACTACAGCCAGACATCCCCACGCCATAGGCAGCGGCCTGGCTCCCTCGTCTACAAGACGGGTCTCTGACCACCTCGATAAAGCTGGTCAGGTAACGCCCCAGCCGGGGGACATCACATGGCATTCTGTCTGAGGACTCCCTTTCCCCGGCTCCTTCAGCAATGCTGTCTGAGAGGTGCGTGTATCCTAAAAAAAGGACAAATAGGAAACCACGGAAACGGTACGTTTAAATGACAAGAGGGACACTACGCGAGTCCAGTCCTGGCGCCAAATGCACGCAGCGGCCTGGATGTGACAGGAACATAATCAACCGCCGGCATCAGAAGTCACCAACGCCCCGGACACCTGCTCAATTACAAGTCACGGGAACATGATTCTACCTGGAAAGAACCCAGTTTTTCCATCGACTGTTCAGCAGTAATAAGCAGTTTATTACCTGTCACTGCTCTAAGGCTGGAATTACATCTCCAGGGTACGTGTCACTGTGAACTCGGTTAAAAACCCAGACGCTTCCATGCCTGCAAAGTTTCACGGGAAACTTGTTTTGCAGTGTCACTTCCAACAGAAAAGCAACCCTTTATTTTCTGCATCTGGATAAACACGTATCTTTTCTCCACACTCTCTCATTCGGTAAACCCGTTAAATAAAAATGGATTCATTTCAAAATTGTAGGGTTTAATTCTTATCCAAATGACAAGGTATAAACAGAGTAACGTTCTCAGGTAGCAAACAGAATTCAGCACCGGGTTATGCTGCGATCCTGCTAACAGGGACATATTCCTACCATAGACTAAGAAGAAACACAACACAAAAAGAAACAACGGATGTATTCCAAAATGAAAAACAATATGAATCACAGCACATACATGTCCATGAGCCTCTAAGTGTCTTCCTCTTGTTTTGGGCAGAGTCCCTGACATACTCACCCTCCCTTTGATGTTGAGGGAGAAAGAACGGACGGAGTTGGTCTGCATTGTTTCCCACAACGCAGCGACATCCTGCAAAGAGCCTAAAGTTAACAAGAGCCTTTCTGCAGAATTCCAGAGATTACGGTTTGCTTAGAAACATCCTCCTGCGCCCCATGACCGGTGCAAAGAAAACGGTAAATGGCTGCAGCTCTTTGCCGAAGTTTACGTATAAAATCTGAACTGCGCATGGCATTTCCCTCCTTCGGGCACCGTCTCGTTCTTTCACACAATCTGTCACTGGGTGTTCCTGTCACATCACGGATACCTGTGCTACGACACGTACACATATTTGTGCTTCACGATTTCGTGACGGTGAACACCACGTGTGGGCAGGCACAAGTCCCGAAAAACCGAGTGTGCCCTAACTGCACTACGTGGGAAAGCACGTAACAGCGAGAAGCCATTTTCCGGTTAATAAAACTCTTGCCACGCTCCAACCCTCCCCGGCACGGTCCAAGGTGCACGTGAGAGGTCTGATCGGCTACGTTTCCTTGGCAGCCTCTCCCGGCCCTTGCTCAGCCCATCAGCTGGAGGACTGTCACCTGTCTGATGACAGAATCGCCCTCGGGAACTCCACGACGGCTCAGGGAAGACAGAAGGACGGGGTTTGCCATTTGAATCTTAAAGGGAGGGGGAAACACTGGAAAGATTTCCCCTCCCAATAATGATGCTGATTAGCTCCTCAAAACGACTTCTGCCTGTGTGTTTCTATGACTATTCCAGCAGAGAACCAGCCACACGAAGGCACAAAAAGCTGGCCTGCCCAGCTCATGTCCACAGGTTTAGTTTGTCATCCATGTTGGCCCTAGGCCCGCCCCCTACAGCCTCACCGCTGGTGCAGAGAGAACTCCATGAACCCCGCTTCCTCGCGAGGGGCTCCCAGATACTGGAGCACGATGACCTTGGTTCCCAGCTTGCACTCCTAGAACCCTAATGCCCATCCCGCTCTGTCTCCCACATCCTTCCCCCCAAAGCCTGCAGCCTCCTGCCCTTCACCCCATCCCTCTCTCCGCTCTGCAGCTCCCCTCCATCCCCGGTACCAAGTACTCATCTCCTCTCACAGCTCCTCTCCTCCCACCAGTCTGCCCACTCCCTCCTCAGATCTCCTGGCTCCTCTTCTGACATGCATTCCCCACCGGTCACTCCTTCCAACCTGCACCCTTAAACCAGGACTTCAGGAGGCCCCACCCAAATCGCCCTAATGCCGGCCGGCCGAGTCCTACGATTACTCGGGAATACACTTTTGAGAGGTGGTATTTGTGGGCGATTCCCCTCTGTCAGAGCACCTCGCTTATGCTGTTGCTATGGGGATACATATATTACTTGCAAAAATGTCAATACTTATAATATTTTATGTAAAAAAGCCGATTTTCATATAATTATACTAATAATATGAAGCATTTCCTGAGTGTTTGCCATGTACCACAGAGCTTCAATACAAATGAGTGTGTGAGTTAAATCCTCATAAAACTCTGCAGAGCAGTCAGATTGTCACTGACAGACTGGCCTGTGCAGGAAACAAAGCTTCCTGGGAATCACATAAACACGTGATGATGCAGCACACGCCTCGCACTAGTGAGCACCCGTGGTTTCTACGAAGTTCACGACGCAGTCTATGGCCACCCCTGCTATCAATGCCCGGGCCTGACTACTGATCCCCACTTCGATTTGACTGCCACCCACTTCTGGAAGAAGCGTCAAGAAAGGGGTCTCTTCAGTAGGTTCTGGAGGG